TGCGCCATGAGAAATTCCAGTGTTGATATCGTCTCTTCCGGGGAGCCGTCAAAGCTTCTGTATTCTTGTAACACGACAATGTCAAGACAAGACGTCGAATGTCGTCATCGCGATATTCATATTGGTAGCAGTAGGCAGCCGAAGAATCTAGAAGGCTTGCTCCCACCAGCAAGCCACCGCCACCGCGACGACGACTGCTACTACCGAACCCTAAACTCTAAACCCACATCCCTGAACCCCACACCCTAACCCGAAACCCCTAAACCCTACACCTTAATCCCTACTACTGACCTAAGCTCTCGCAGGGTACCTGGTTCCCTGGCGGCATTGGCCTTCACGGCTGCCCCGGCATCCCGTTGGCCATGATCATCTCCAAGGCCTCCGCCTAGGCAGTTTAAGGCTTAGGGTTGAGCATGATGTGCAGTCTGATCGCCACAAGAATAAGAATGACCCATTGAAAGGCAACTGACATTGCGCATGTATATATCATATCCCAGTGCTCACCTGACCCTAATTGAACACTGAATTGCCAAGAAGGGCCCCAAAACCCTAAACCCTGAACCTCAGTAAACGCTAAAGAAGACCTAAGTGAACCCAAGAAGGGAGAAGCCCAGGTGCTTATCGTGCTTCAGCCACCTGAAACTGTCCAAGCTCCACCTTGAACCAAAAGTGGTGAGCCATGAAACATACCCCAAGCCCTAAACTCCAAAATGTACCCTAAACCCCAAGCTTTAAACCAGCAGTCTCAAACCCTAAGATATACCCCAAACTCTGGACCGTAAAGTGAAGTTGAGGCATTTCTGGCAGACTTCGTCCAGCGCTTTTCCAGTTGGCGTCCAGCAGGAGGGAGCCAAGGCAAGGAAGGTGCGGCCGGGAATCCTGTGTGGTGTGCAGACTTTGGGCAGGGTTTTGGTAGAGAGGGTAGCGCATGTATTAAGGGCCGTTAAGGTTGAGGAGGGGGCGTAGGCTTTAGGGAGCGGATATGGATATGGAGCTCGCGCAGGCCATATTTTTATTGGTAGTGTGATTGTGATAATGACCATGATCAGTATTGTTACTAGATTATCATTGCTGTTGCTAAGCTGCAGTGGGTTGCTCATTTCGCAGGGTGGGTGAACATTCCCATCCGCATCCTCGGGGACAAGTATGAGGTGGAAGTTGACAAGCGATGAGTTGCGAACAACCCGAAAACCTTCAAATCGTTGCGAAGGATTAGTAGGAATTCCTCAGGCCGTGCCCGAGTGTTGCGATTGCAGCGCCCTCAGAGGCCACCCGCCGCCACTGTCATAAAAAGAAGATGGGCCCGAAGAGCTCTTGGGCATGACATCTACTCCTGAGAAATGACATGTGGCACGCGGTTCAAGTGTGCAGGACAGTGGAGCAGAGTAGTGGTGGCCACGATCGTCGCCCGTGGCCATCATCATGAGCAGCAGCATCATCAGCAGCAGCATCAGCATCAGCATCAGCGCCAGCACCAGCGCCAGCACCCAGCATCAGTGTCAGCGTCAGCATCAACACCAGCAAGATCAGCAGCAAAAGCTGTACAGCATCAGTATCCCCCTCCCACCTTGCACCCGTAATGCTAGACTCTCAAGCGCTTGTGTTCTGCGCCTGTTGTGCTGATTATCTTGGGTTCCGTTGAACGGTGGAGCGGACTGGGTTCCTGTGCCTGCCTGCAGATGATAGCCAGAGCTCCGCCTGTCAGGAACCACACAGATTCGGATTGTTCGCCTTTGCAGCCGTGCACGAGCAGCATGTTTTGGTGACGAATTTGAGTCTCGTGCTTTCTGAGTTCATGAGCAGGGCTTCCTTAGGGCATCGTCCGAATCGTGCGTTGGACTTCTTGTGCACTTGCTGCATCATTTTGGAAGCGCTGAGGCCCACACCCCCCTCCCCGTTAACTGACTTTTCGTGCGCTGAGAGGACCCGCTGGCTTATAGTCTGGATTTGCGCAGGGTTTGCTTATTGGGTGGTTCGTGTGGCCAGTTTTGGAGCTCCTTCCTTAACTTGGGGTCTTCTTGTTGCAGTTCGCTGCCAGCCGCCTCCACGCCCGCCGAGCTTTGAGGGAAACTTTTCAACCATGATGTTCTAATTGTAGAACAGTTGGATGAGCTTTTCGTGGTCCTCCGCCGACCCAGGCCTTCACAATGCAAAAATTCCAATCCTCAAACTCACGAAACATTGTAGTTCTCACAACAGTCAGAATTCCAAAATCCTGGTATCCATAGCTGGCAGGTTGGTGATCATCTGCAAAGTTTTGGAATCTTTCCTATCTTTGCATTGCAGTGTTTCGTGGCCTGAACCTTTCAAAACAGTGTAAAGCTAGCAAAGTCCAAAATTCCCAATCTCAAAACTCACGAAACATTGCAACACAAATTCTGGCATCTATGGCCAGGTCGGGGCCAGATTCCCCAAACATTTCCGACTTTTCGACGTTTGTTGGCATTTTGGAGGTTTTTGAGCATCACGGTGTTTCGTTGTCGTGGCTTTCAAGACGCGAAGCCTTGTAATGTTCAAAAAGCTCCAAAATTTTCACTGCGGTAAATCTTGGGGGGGGGGGTGGGGGGCAGGGGGCGAGCATCAAATTGAATTCTCTGCGGTCGATCTTGGGGGGTGGGGAAAGGGGCGAGGGGGGTGGGGGAGGATATTATGTATATGTATATGTAGAAAGCATATAAGCACAGAAGCATATATGCACATATGCATGGATGCATATACGTATATACAAAGGTATGTATGCATGTATGTATGTATGTATGTATGTATGTATATATCTACAGCTATATCTATATATGTCTGTATGTTTATATGTATATACGCATATGTGCATATATGTGTACATGTATTTGCATACCTATACATATCTATATATATATGTATGTATGTATGTATGTATATATGTATATATGTATATATGTATATATGTATATATGTATATATGTATATATGTGTATATGTGTATATGTATATGTATATGTATATGTTTATGTATATGTATATGTATATGTATATGTATATATGTATATATGTATATATGTATATATGCATATATGCATATATGCATATATGCATATATGCGTATATGTACATCTTTATATATGTATATATGTATATATGTATATATGTATATATGTATATGTATATATGTATATATGTATATATGTATATATGTATATATGTATATATGTATATATGTATATATGTATATATGTATATATGTATATGTATATATGTATATGTATATATGTATATATGTATATATGTATATATGTATATATGTATATATGTATATATGTATATATGTATATATGTATATATGTATATGTATATGTATATGTATATATATATATATATATATATACGTATATACTTATATATGTATATATGTATATATGTATATATGTATATATGTATATATGTATATATGTATATATGTATATATGTATTCACAACACTTCGCAACCGAATTAAACAAGTGTACACGTAGCATGAGTCATACTCGTGGGGACTTGCAGAGACAGAACCTCCTGGTTGTGTCGATCGGCATACCGAAAAATTCATGCCCTCTCCACCCTTTCGTATTTTCGGTATGGGGGATCCTCTCCGTGACGCTCAAAACCGAGTGGGCCTGCAAGCGCTCGCTTACGGCACTCACGACCAGCTCTGTCGGCCTGTTCACCGGCTGCTTTTGCGACGGTGACGGCGAAGAATGTTACGCGGCCGTTCGCATGCCGCGCGAGGACTGGGCGCCGAATCAGCTCACTCCTTTGTGCACGGCTTGCGATCGCAGGTTCGACATGTGCCATTTCTGTCGCGGGATCCCTTGGGTGACGCCACCTGCTCATCGGGACCGGGATCGGCACCTTGCTGGGTTGGATGTTGGGGCATCCCACCCATCAACCTGGATCAGCCGATTTACTATTTGGTCCCGGAGGGCACCAACGCTCGCCCCCACCAAGGTGTGCTCAGCGCCTTTAATGGCTCCATGTGCGGGCCGGCCTTTGGATCCGCGGCCGGCTACGCCTGGGTCCGCTCCTTTGCCAGCTCCTAAAGCCCCGCCGACTCCTGCGCAGATCGCTGCTTACAATTCGAACAACGCGGGTGCTCGCCGTGCAAAGGCTAAGGCGACTCCGGACGCTGCTTTCCGAGCCGCTGAGAGACAGCTCATCGATTTGCTCGGTGCAGCTCCGCTCGATGACGATCCCATCGAGGAGCCTTCGCCGCAAAGCGGCGATCCGATCGAAGACTTTTGATTTTGTTCGCGGGGAATATCGCTCGTCTGATGTGTCCGATCGGAATGATGTTGCGGTCCGTGGTGAATGCCATGGAGCACCCCCGGTGATGGACTTGTGAAGATCGAGTGAAGTTTTGATGATCGGACTTGTGGCCGACTCTCACGTTGCGGTCGCACAGAAAAGGGACCGTTACCTTTGGCTGTTCAGCGAGGGTACCGAGCGTGTGCGTCCGTAGTAACTGATATGTATATATGTGTACATGTATATATGTATACATGTATATATGTATATATGTTTTTACGTTTATGTGCATATATCTTCACATGCTTATACGTCTGTATGTGATTATGTTTGTATGCATGTACGATGAACGTATGTTTGTTTGTTTGCATGTATGCATGTCTATGCCTACCTGTGTGTATATACATTTATATATGTATTTACATATATAGATGCCCTCTGTTTGTTTATTTTTCATCAACCAGACTCGTTTTGGTGCATCAGCCATCCAACATAGCGAAAGACACAGCGCGGGAAGCACAGGTCACCGCAGCGTACTGTTCTGTAGAGCAAGGGCTGTTGCAACAGGGAGAAGGAAGAAACCCAAAGATCTCTCATGCTTCAGCCTTTTGGCTCCTCGCCGGTTTGCCAAACCCTGTGGTGATTCGTGTCTGAAACATGCTCGAAAAAACCACCATTGCAACATCTTGGGCCGCTTCCTAGACCTGCCCTGCTTGCGTTATTTTGCGTGGCCTCCTCCGTCGGATGGTCTTGGTGTGGCTCGCGCTGTTCCTGGCGCTGGCAGGTGCCCGGCGCCCTGCCGAGGACCCTGCTCGGTCTCCGCAGATGTATTGATAGTATTGGAAGTTTTCGCAGGACCTTCCTGATGGGAGGTTGGTTCAAAGTTCTCGGGATCAGGCCTCCGCAAGCTTGACATGGAAGCATGCAGGAAGGTGTCAGGTCTGCGGACTTTAGGTCTTGGCCCTCCAAGCAGGTACCGTCCAGCGTGCTCGGGAGCAGTGTCAACGATTGCAGCTCGGTGAAAGTAAGCTTGGAGTTGTTTGGGGACAGCCACAGCAAGATGTCAGCCAAGGTGACCGAGAAAATGCCATACTCAAAGTGGTCCTGCAGAATCTGGGTGTTGCGGACGATGTGATGCATGGCGATCATTGCCAATGGGAGGGCATCGAGTGTGTGGAGGACGAGCAGTGCGTGCAGTGGATTGACCTCGGGTATAAAAACTTGACTGGCCGGCTGTCCGCGGAGTTCGGCAAGTTGACCAGACTCACGCACCTGTGGCTCAATGAGAACCGGCACCTGTCTGGCGATATCCGGACGTTGAGCGCCCTCACACGGCTCGAACAGCTGCATTTACCGAACACGCTGGTCACAGGTGTTCTAGAAGCTTTGCAGAATCTGACGCAGATGAAATGGCTGGACTTATACCAGACGAAGGTTGACGGGAAGTTGGGGGCCCTGGTGAATCTGAAGGAACTGGTCGAGCTGGACCTGTCCAGGACAGCAATCAACGGCCGCCTGGAAGATCTGAAAAACTTCACACATGCGACTCATATCATACTCGCGGAGACGCAAACCAGCGGGGAGCTCAAAGCTCTGACGGATCTTCGCAAATTGACGAATCTGGATCTTTCCAAGACGGATACCACAGGAGATATCGAGGATCTCTTGCATTACGAAGACTTGGAACAGGCTTTGCTGAGACGAACAGAGGTGAGCGGCCGTCTGACCAGCCAGTGGCATGGACGGCTCCGTAGGCTGAGCGTACTGGATCTGGCAGTCTGTGCCTAAGACCGGAGGAATGCTAGAATCCGCAGATGAGTTCCGGGCTAAAGCATGAGTGCTGAGGACACCCATGCCCGTTTCGTGGCGACAGCAGAGGATACAGTGGCCCTGAACGGATTCGAACTCCTTCCATCGCTGACATTTCTTGATGTCACTTACCTGCCAGCGGGAGGGTAGGCAGCTTTTATTGTTGTTGCTCCTGTAGCATGATCTCAGGTTTCTGGATGCCCCCTGAACAGTCCGGTGCAGAATCTCCTTTGGCCCTTTGCTGAGTCAGAACACCTCGAGCGAGTGGACGCCGCTAGGTCGAACCTGACAGGCACGCTACCTCATTTGGGCGACCATGCACTAACGGATTCGCTCCAGAGACTGGACTTGTCCTACAATCGGATCAACTACGTGGAAGGACTCCCGGAAGGACTAGTTGCTCGAGGTCGTCTCTCCCTTGCGAAAAATCCCAACATTTCCTTTGCACCCGGTGTCCTCGCCAGAGCCATACGCCACAGGGTCAAGATCGACCTGAGAGGAGCTTCTCTTGCTAAAACGACGCAAGACGCATCAAGATTGCATCTGTTGACAAAGCTTCGTGAGAAGACGCCGCCGACGAAGAGCGATCACGGGTCGCTTCAGTGCAAGACTTTCGAAGGAATAGTGTATGACATCTTCTTGACCGACCAGGTCTGCAGACCCTCCCCTGGGTATGCACTTTTAGAGGCCACGGACCTGACGCCTCATCAGTGCCGATCTCAGCAAGCTTGTCTTCTTGCATTGCCCGGTTGTGACCAATTCGCTCTAAAGGTGTTTCTTTCCAGCTGAAGAGCGATGCAACTCGACAAACAGCATACGCAAATGGAAAGAGCTTGGATGCGCCGAAGGCAGCTTTGCTGGAACTGGGTATTTTCTGTGGAAAGCGTGGCGAAGGGTTTTTGCATCGAGTGGTCTGGATGGCATGATATGATGGTGATGATGATGTTCCCCAATCTAGTACTGTCAAAGTTTTACGTGGTTGCCTCCGGTCTTGCTGTCGTGCTTTCGTTTAACGTGCAGGGGGAGGTCTAGCGGCAGTCGGCGCCCAGCGTCAAATCAAGCAGAGCGTGTGGTGCCTATAGACGATTCGTCCGCGGACTTGGCAACCCTCTGCTGACGCGCGTGAAATCGTGCCGCCCGCGTGATGCCGTGACGACTCGAGCTATGAATTGACATCCCTCCGGGTGCTACTGGTGTGTCCGAGTCCTCCGGTCGGCGCGACCCATTGTAAATTCCAGTGCATTGGTCGCACATTAGTCTCGAATTGACATACCTCCAGGTGCTACTGGTCTGTCCGAGTCCCCCGGTCAGTGCGATCCAGTGAAAAACGTCCAATACGTTGCTTTCGAGCTGACAACAGTCTCGGTGCCACCGGCATGTCCGCGTCCCTGGATGGCGTGTGACTCCCAGCAGCAGGTTCAGGGAGTCATGCGAAATCGTGCTGCGCATGTTGTGAGGTCAGTAAATCGGGGATCTCGGTGGACGGTGCGTATCCGCGGCCTCGCGATCGACTGCAAGTTCCAACACACGAGCCTCATGAGCAAACTTCTCGTTGGGCGCGGCATGCGGGGTCCTCGCCATCCAGTGCAAACTCCAATACATGAGCTTCATTTTGGCCTCGACGTTAATCCTCTCGTTGGACGGAGCTCAGTTGCGAAATACGTGAAATCCCGCTTGTACGTGGAGGAACATGTTGGTCATGTCTCTGCATCCCGCCTGTACCTGAGAGAAGCATGTTGGCCGTGCTCAGGAATCCGGCCAGTAAATGGAGAGAATTTTGGCCGTGGTCCTGAGTTCCACCAGTACATGGGGCTTGGGGGGCGGGGAAGCATGTTAGTCGAGGGCCTGTGCAAGTTTTTTTGGGTTGCTAGAAGGGTTTATTCAACGCTTTTTTAGTTCATGCTTGTAGAGGGTGTTTAGAAGGATTTGTTGATGTCTGTTGAAGGGTTTGTTTTATGGAAGGTTTCATGAAGGGTTTGTTGAAGCGTTTGTAGAAGGTGTTATAGAAAGGATTGAAAAGGACAGAAGGGCTTTCTAGAAGAGCTTATAGCAATTTACAGGTTTATTGTGGACGGATGTATGGACGGATGGATGCATGGATGAGTTGATGGATGGGTTCAAGGATGAAGGGATGGATGGATGAGCATGTTCAGCGTTTCCTCGCTGCCCCAAGTGCTTTCGGGACACATGTCTTGAGTTTGTCATTGTTTGTCGTTTTGCGTGCCATGGTGCGGAGCCTAGGCTACGAGGGCGTTCTCTGCAGCATGTGCGCAGATCAATTCCGAAGCAGTGCCGGCCGCTGCAAGAGGCCTGCGGCAACGTCCCGGGTTCCTTGTCGAATCAAAGCAAGACCGCAGCAGGTGCAAGGAAGATGCTGCAACTGTCCGTTGGTGGCTTGCCGGAGCCGGAGCTGTGGTGCTGGTTGCGTTGGTTGCCGCAGGTCTCTATGTTGCATGGGGGAGCCACGGCCTGCAAATCCAATGATCTCGAGAGCCGTAAGCTCCTCTCCTCTTTGCAAGCCTAAGCCCCGTCAGGAACCGCTCCAAGCGGCTCCCTGAGACACAGAAGCCCAAACCGATGGATGCAGCGCGACAGCAGCATTCTGCGTTCTGCTCAGTTCTTGTGAGCACCACTTGAACCTCTGTTGAATGATCCGAGGCCTTGATCCCGTTGCTGCTTGGGCAGGGCCCCGTGCTGGTGCAGTTTGTGCAGCTCTGGGCCATCCTCGCAGCGCTTGGGCCTGCGAAGACTGCTCATGCGGCAGATGAGCAACTGCAGGAGGAAGGGCTTCTTATCTTCTTCTGTTTGTCTCTCTATCTCTCTCTCTCTGTCTCTCTTCTTTCTCTGTCATATATCCCTAGGCCCTATAGGCCCTAGTCTCTTGCTCGTGCTCTTGATGTTTGTCACTCCGTCTCTATTTCAGCCAAGAGTTCCAGACATGTTGCAGTGCCTCCGTCCAGAACGAGGAGCTGTCCCAGTGGTTGGAGCTGACAGCGGCCGGAATTTCTGATGCGTTGAGCATTCAGTGTCTCTTCGGCAGGACGAGCCCTGTCTGAGTGAGGCTCTTGATACGTTCAGGCACTTGTGTGTTCAAGTCGCACCAGTTGGTAAGTTCCCGATTCCGTTGGTATACTTTCGCAATAGTCACCAATATCAAAGACGACAGTCATTGGTGTGAGGCTGGCGCTGAGCTTCAGTGCCTTTGCATCGCCCAGCCTGCCGCTGCTTTTGCTGATGCTTTGCTTTCTCCTGGAAGCACTGGATTGGAGTGGAGGAGCCTGCTGGCATCGCCCAGGAGACGATAGTGTGGTAGCTTGAAGCTTGCTCATCGTCGTTTTCTGCACTTCAGGGTTAAAATGACACAAGAAGCCATGGTGCTTCAGTTGGAATGTGCCAGGGCTTGGCGTCGATTTGGCATTGAAGGTGCTGCTGTTTTTGTTCATTGGTGGCGCGTCGAGCTGTGAGAAGCTCCTGCGCTGTCAGAAGATTGATGCAGGCCTGCATAATTGTCATGTGAAAAACGGAGTTCCAGAGACGTTCGATAGCTCTGCAAGGTGGAGAAGAATTGGGCGATTATGCGTACCGCTTTGCGCTACCCCAGCTGAGGCCAGAAGTTCTCTATAAGCTTTTACCTTTGCAATCCTTGAATTGATTGGGATGGTGCTCCCGCAGGTGCTCGGATTCCACTAGTGAGGAAGCCGTCTGGGTCGGGTCCTGTGAGGGAACTGATTTGATTGATCTGAAGAGTTGCTGCATCGTTCGGAAGGAGCTGTTGGATCTGAGGCAATTTACGTGGGATATGGCTCTGCCGTTGCATATGGCCTTCTGATCCCGAGCTTCCTGATCTACCTCATCGTGAAGCAGAACATAGCCCTGGCTCCGAATCGGCGCTGTGTGTCCTGGGCCAAAGTAGACAGGCACAAAAATGTGACCGTGCGGGCCAGCCTCCTCGAGCCCCTGATGGAGGATGGTGAAACGGACGAGGATGGTATTGGGGCTTGCCGTCTTCTTGTTTTGCGTCCAAGATTTCCCACTGACTACCGCTGCCTATTACCATCTAGGCATTTTAGCTTTGCTGGGGTTTGCAATTTTGAGCCGAACTAAGGGATCTCTTCGGGCGCGCATGTGCCATGATGTGCCATGATGAGCTGATGATTCAGGTGGTTTGAGCGAGGTCGATTGAGGTGAACAAAATTGAGTTGAGAGTCTTGGCACATGGAGTTCGAGAACAGTAATTTGGCCTTGCTAGCAAAGTCACCGAGCTTTCGATTGTCAGTCGCGCTTCGAAATTGTCCAGATTTCACATTCTAGGGAATTCCAGACCTTCAACAAGTAGGGAAGCTGTACTGAGGAGCGTTGCTTGGCCATGTTGTAAGCTTGAGGGCACGCTTCGATACTACGCAGGAGATCCATCAGCAGAAGAGGACAGTTTCCGACAACCTGCTGGCAGCAGCCATCGCCTACAGCGCCGTCTTCCTTCACGGGCACAGGGTGCACATAGTGCAGGATGCAAAAGCCGAAGCTTTGCCGCTCGGGAAGCAGTACGAGCAGCATCCTCGATGCTTGCAATTTTTTGCAGAGTTGAGAAGACAGCAGGGCGAAAGCACCTCAGCCCAGTTGTTAAGGATGCAGGGCCCTCACCCCTTCCTCCTGCCACCCTGTGATAGGATGGCGCCCCAAACCGTTTCGGTTTTAAACTCCGAATTGCAAGATCCGGGAACCCCATTCCATTGGGGATGAGGGGTGTGCTTGCCGGAGCCCGACTGCCAGAAGCATTGCAGGATGTTGGAAGGCACACGCATTGACGATGGGAGCAGTGGTTTGGAATTCGATGCCACCTGGCTGCATTTGGGCAGCCCACATTGCCCCTAAACCCTGAACCCTAAACCCTAAACCATGCACATACCCGCTCCATAGGCGGCGACTGCCTTGACGACTGGTCTGTCGGCCATCTCCACAAAAGAGCACAAGATTGACACTGCAATGCGGCGTTTCCAAGCTATCACCAGGCTGCAGAAGCGTGAGTTCCACCTTGCTCAGAGCGTGCTGTTCAGGGTTGTCCAGCCTTGTAAGGAACAAATATAATTTAGAGCATTTTAGAGCTGAATGAATAACCGAGTCTCTCGTCTCCGCCCAAACACTGACATGTGCATATATCATGTTGCGGCGGCAGCGGGGGCTCCGCATTTGTGGAGCCCACCAGCACATCTCAGAAATGCTCCCACATGCATCCTTGACCTGCCCCGCTTGGACTTGTGTCTCGCACGGCTCCTAGCCACGGCTTGTGCCAGCTACCTCCTGAGGCAACTTTCACACCATGCCCGAATGCGCTGAAGCAGACTCTCTGGCCAGTTGTGTCAGGATGCTTGCGGAGCGCGAGATGCTCGAAGCAAAAGCCGATTCCGACAGAGCCTCGGAAGATTTGGAAGGGCAAATCGTAGGTGTTGGTCGACACGTGCGGGCATGCGACCTCCATGTAGCTTCCATGCGCCGCAGGCTTGCAGTTTAGGGCTCGGAATGTTGTTATTACAAGTCACAAGTCGACATCATGCAATTGAAGTCCATTGATCTGAGGAGTTTTGGCCGGGGCCAAGACGATCTTCTTTAAATATGCACCTTGGCAGCGTTTTCGAACTTCATTCCTTGCAAGATCTCAGAAGCGTGCATACCGCACAGGGCCTCAGACATTTGGAGTGCTGCTCGTGTGTTGGTCGGTGATGATAGTGGCTCCGTCTCGTCCAGACTGCAGGCTGCGTGCGAGGACGTCTGGGTAGAAGCGTTACTCAAAGTGGTCGCCGTTGCTTTGGTGACTACTGTGACTTGACGGCAAAACAGCCAGATTCGCCTCCTTTCTAATTCATATCCTCACATGTGAATTCGTGACAGCAGTCCAATGACAATCACTCGTGGCAGACTACATCCGTAGCATTCCGTAGCAGTAGCATTCAAGGCAAGCCACATGGCCCTAGCTTCTCTATGGCCTTGTGCGCATGAAGGGCCGAGGCATTCTTTCCAGCTAGCCACCTGCTGTGTGTGTGTGTGTGTGCGCTGCACGGTGCAACGATCGCGCTGGCAAACCAAAATCGTCCCATGAGTCACCCAAGTCACAGGGCTTAATTGTGGAGAAAGCTGTGGCGAAAGCAGTGCCTTGCTCACATGTCATTATCGGATGCATGTCTGAGTGACGACCATGACGAATCCGATCAGGTCCATGCTGCTCGTGGCTGCAAGACATGAGAGAACAGGACAGTTCGTTCAAAGTCATAGGGGGTTCTATACCAGGATGCTCCTCTTGTGCCCGACACAGACAGCTTGCGCAACTCATGGCACTACTCCCGCCCTCCTAACACTTCTCAAACCCGCGTAACCAGCGACGCGGACCAATGGATGGTTGCACTTTTCAGTCCGTAAGGTGATTCGTAAGTTCGCTTAAGTCACCTTTTTTCCAACCTACTCGTACATGCGAAAACTACAGGCGCAGTCGACTCGGCAGCGGACATTCAAACCAGAAATGGACCATAATTTGACCGATATATGTATATATATATACACATAATTACATACACACATATACATGTATACATATAGCCTTCCAGCGAAGTCACTTCGCGCTTCAATTACTGAATGCGACAGGTGAAGAAGGTTTGTTTACACTGACACCAAGTTTACTTTCCCACCTTCTGATCGATGTCAGCATCGTGTTGAGGTTCCAATCGAGCCACTTCGGACGGGACTTGCAGTGTTGGGGCAATGCCTGCACCGGATAGTAAAGACATGAACAATCCTGGACCTTCACGGGCACTTCCCAAACCCAGATCAGCGAGGTTTCCGTGAAGTCCTTGCTGCTGACACTTTTCATCACTGTTGGTATGGCCATTCTCCTTGGTGCCCAGAAGCCGTATCAGCAGCGTCAGGCGCTGTGAGGATTACAGGGCTCGGAACACTGCCACTAACGCGTATCCTCTCTCCGTCCACAGCAGCAACAGCGAGAGCAGGGACTCCCGTACTGTAGCCAGGTCGAAAGCTTTCGTTGTTCAGCTCTTTGCACATTCAAATGCAAAAGCAATACTTGGTGATGTTGTGGGGGATCCTGATTCCGGGCCGTAGCTGTTTGCTGTTTGGCCTGTGGATGTGTCATTAGGGGTGGACGGCATGAAACGTTTTAACAGATCGATGGTCGCCGGATCTGTCGGGAAGAGCCGTTCGCAAGCTTGGCTGTCGTGGAACAGGTGAATGATCTACAAAGCGGATGCTTCATTTGTGCCTTGGCCGAATCGAAGTTATACACGTTCTCACAGTATCTATCGGCAACAGCACAGTTCAAGTCCATGCTCCTGTGCTTACAACCCCCCTCCCATCTCCCAAGGCTTGTCAGTGGCAGCAGTGGGCTTGACAGAGGGCTGCTTCAAGATCTCTCGATGTGTGCTGGTCATTCCTTTCGTCGCCGCTTGCGTGCAGATGCTTCGACCAGGCCACAATCAATAGGACCCTGGTGTTACTTAAGCCTGACTCTGGCAAACCCAATTACCACTCCGTCACGACGACCCATCGTCTAAGCCCCTAACTTGTGTTCTCCCTTGCCGTGGGGCTTCCTGCACTCTCTGTGCAGATGGCGCCGAAGCCCTTGCGCTGCGACTTCACAAGGCGAACAGTCAGCTGTCGTGTAACAGAGTTTCAGGTTTTGTGTCGTCGGTTTGGCATCTCCACTCTGGCATAGTTGGGTAGCATTTTACATCTTTATGCGTACTTAAACCCAAGAAGGAGTAGACATTTATGCAGCATTTCAACTTCTCATAAATGCCAACCATAGACTCGTCCACTCTACAGTTCCAGCTGGTAGAACATGTCATGGTGGGGCAGTCGCTCAGAGTTGCACGGCTTCATCTGTTGCTCCTCAGCCTTTCGTCAGAATGGATCGACATATACTGACATGCCAATCTCGTGCATCACACCGAACTAGGAATCTTGATGCCTGCCATCAGGAAGCCAAGACCAAGCTGAAGGAGGGTAACTCCCTTGACCTTGAGGTGAAGAAGATCGACTTCATTTGAGCGGCACCGGCGACTCATACCAACAATGACTCAAAAAAGTGCACGAACAGCTGCAGGCTTTGCATACCCCAGAGCTCATGAATCCAAAATGCTCGCTGCCACGCTGTGGTGCGCGCACGATTGGCAAGCCGGCTTGCGGAATCATGATTTCGGGAGGCGGAAGCGCGCGGGACCAGCAGCACTCCAAAATACTAGTGGCACGGCGGCGGCAGCACGATTTCTGGAGGCGGAAACACAACGGGCTGGCGGGAAGACGACAACACTCCCACATCCACATTGCACTGCGGGGTAGGAGCGCGATTGCCAATTTGCCAACATCCGAAACCCCGGTAGAACGACGGCTTGAAGACGATATCCTGAGTAGTGTGACCCAGTGGCGACTTCGAGCGATTTGCAGGCAACGGTGAGCGCAGGACCCTAAATGCTCGGCTCTGTGGCTGGAGCGAGATTCATCAAGTTTGGGAGTGCCGAAGTATTGGATGTATGGCATGTGACAAAGATTCAACGTCCTCGGCTGAATGTGGGTCGAACGCCTTAGGCATTTGGCTTGGGCTTGGTGCTAGGCGGCCGCTTGTTCCAACTGCAGCAGACGGCATGGCATGTTGCACCACCATGGCCTAGAATCATACAGAAGTGCCTTTCCTCTCCTTTCACTTCGTGAATCTTCAAAAACTTACAGCTACTTACTTACAGCTCAGTTTTCAATAGCAGTGCCTTGGGGCCTTACAGACCCAGATTTCCAAGAGCGTGTTGGGAGGCGGCCACAGACTCTCTGTACCGACAGGCTTTCCGGATCAAAGCATGATTTTTCAACCGTCGCTCTCTGTGCTTGTGCAGAGGGCAGGGTCTCTGAACTCCAAAAGCTTTGTACATGTTTATCATCGATTGAAAATGGTTGTTACTTCGAGGGCTCTTCCAAAAGCTTTACAGCTAACTCTGCAGATGCAGCAGAATGACCGACGACAGACCCGGCCGCATAGCGTCCACAGCAGCTGTTCTGGTGGTTTGCCAGAACAATCCGCGGACTACATGAATCTAGTTGACACTTCTATCTGCAATACAGTGCTATTCAGTTTGGGTTTTGTCAGCTCCAGTGTTTCTTGCCACAGCTGCAGATGTGCAGTTTCTAATTTCCGCGGAGAAATTCTGCGTACTGTAACATACCAATGCGGAGCAAGTAGCGGTAGTACTTCAAACAGCAGTAGCAGCAGCAGTAGATGTCGCAGAAGGAGGGCTATGCAGCAAAGTCGGAGCAAGTAATATGAATTGTCTCGTTTTTCTCGCGACAGTGCTAGGTTCAGGGTTTCAGGGTTCAGAACAGGGTCATGGCCACGGCCGTCCCGTGGAGCCATGAGATGCGCACTCATGCGGCTGGCAGAGAGGCCCACCTCATGATTGCCCAGCCCAAAAGCCTTGGACTAGGCTGACTAGACTGCACCCGACGCATGTTGAACCAAGCATCAAGACAAAGATTCTTTGGTTAACGGATAACAGGGCCAGGGTGCATTTATCAGCTTACTTGCTTAATACTGGCAACTTTGTCATAAGGCGGAGTGTTTTTTGCTCATCATTGTCAGATTTTTCGTGGTTTGGGGCAGTTTTTCAGCGCACGAAATGCCGGGGCACAGCCCACAAAAAAGTTCAAGCACCAGGCGACTCGTCTGGGCTTAGGGTTTGATGTCTGCGGATGTGCGGTGCGGATTTCCCAAATGTGGGCCCCTTTTAAGCTGCTACCCCAGAGTCCCAAAACTCCGAAACCGCTGCTTCCCTGCTTCCCAAACAAGACCCCTTGTCCGTAAGCCCTCAGCCTCGACCTCGACCTGAAATGTAGGCCCTACCTATAGTCTCCATTGTAGTTCCTTTTTTTGGTGAACCAGCTTTGTGGTTAGGATCCTATAACAGAGATATTGTTTAACCAAAACAAGGAACTACAGTGGAGACTATATAGGTAGACCTCAAATCCTAAACCCTCCTGAGCCCAAACGTAAATCCGAAGTTCAGGTCCTAAAGCCTCAACCCTAATCTTCAGTCCTCTTGAGAGGCCAGGCCCACCGCGCGGGGCCGCAAAGGCGTAGCTCTTGGGCCTTGGGCTTCATCTCATAAGGAACCAGCCGAAACGTTGGTAATGATTTTAAGGCCCCTAAAAAGGGCTGTTAGGGTTTAGGCTTTAGGGCCGTTTTTGTTAAACGAAGCGAGGTTGGGGCAGTAGCTGGAGTACCTCCGTCTCATGGGAACCTGCTTCGGCTATATGGAAACTACTGGTACAATGGTTTCCTTATCGGTACTCAACTAAAGATCTGAGAGGCACCAATGCGAGCTTCGAAGCTCAAGGGACTGAGCAAGATTGCGTTTAGGGTTTCAGGTTTAAGGTTTAGGTCATCGGGTTCGGGGTTTAGGGTTTAAGGTTTAGTTGCAACTACCGTCGTTGGGAGCATCTTGTCTGCAGCGCTGCTTAGACCCCTGATCCCCCAGAGCCCCTAAACCCGGAACTGTTTAAATCCTAACCCTAAATGCTGAACCCTAAACCCCAAAAGCCCTAACCGTTTCACCTTTAAGGGCCCAACATTTTCGGTTGTCGGGGAGGTGGTCCCTCGCCAGTCGACGCGGCAGTCAGCAGCTGCGGTAAAGGCCTGTCGCAATACCTCCCACAGAGTCCCCGAAAACTCGACAAGGGATCCGAGCCAGGTTTAGGGTTTTGGATATGAGGTCCCTGAAGTCAGCTTTGAATTAGGGTTTATGTATGGGCTCTACAAAGGCTTTGTTGGGGAGTTTTCGAGGGTCCTTTTGGGTTATACACCCAGGCCGAAAACTTCAGACCCTCAACCCTAACCCCCACTAAGGCTCAGACCTGTGTTTGAGATTAAAGGTCCAGGGTGTCATTGTGCATGCGTTTGTGAAGCTTCAGACCTTCCGTGCTTGGGGTCTGCCTTAAGCTACCTTTATGTAACCCTCAGTTTTTTGCAGCTACAGGGATCCTACCAAAAAATGGTTGATGGTAGGTTCGATGTCAAAAGCCCAGAGCCCCTCAACCCAAAACAATAGTTTGAAGCCTAAGCCCGAGACCCGAAGTCCTCAAGCCGAAACTCGAAACACTAGAACTAGAACCCACGCCTTGAACCCTAGAACTTGGACTCCAAACGCAGATCCAGGATTGGAATGTTCTGATCACCGCCCGTGGCCGACGCAACGGCTGGGAGGCGGCACTGGCCGCCGCCACAGACATGCAAAGGCCACGAGTTTCCAGCAGCAGTGAAAGTTGCATGATGGAAGGTAGTAGCACGAAGGGGTAGTATGAATGGAAACAGACAAAGAATGAGGAATAAGGACTCTTGGATGAGTGTTAAGGCGCTGAGGCTCGCGGCTTCTGAAGCTGAGTTTTTGGTGTTGTTTTGGGTCTGGGCTTCCATGGGTCCAGCAAAACCCTAAATCCCAAACCCATTTTTTTGGTGCTGCAGGGTGGAAGTCTGTTGTTTCCTGCATTCGAGCTGTTTGGATTTGGACTTGAAGTTTCAGGCAATTTAGTAGGTCAGTTGACTTGACTGGTCATAAACAGTGATCACTCTTGTATCAGTAGTTCAGAAGCCAAGATGTCATAGCTAGCCAAGATAGTGGCATGACTAGTTAATATGGCCATTCCTCAGGGTTCTGTAGCACAACATCTCAAACCCTTATCCCAACTATTGAGGCCCGTCAGTACGCATAGGCATAGCCAGAGTAGCAGGTGCTTTTCGGAGCTCTTGAAAAGCACCTTCCTGCGCAGACAGCACTGAAAGCTTCGGGTGTTCTTTCGCGCACAGGCTTGTCGAAGTCGCTGCAAACCGTTCTACCTACCCTAAAACCCCAAACTCCAAACCAGGAGGTCCCTGCATGCTGAAGAGCAGCCGCAACTCCAAGAGTTGTTCCAGGGCCCGAAGAGTCAGATGTGGGTCTCCAGGAGTGCCTCACAGCCTAAACCTCTAAGATCCTGAACCCCTAGGTGCTAAGATCCTAAACCCTTAAATCCTAAACCCCTAAACCCTTTAACCCTAACCCTTAGCCCCAAGGCCCCAAGGAACCATCAGTCCTCCTCAGAAAGTAGACGTGACTTGCAGGCACGGCTTGGCGTGGGATCACTTCACCTTCGGTGGCCTCATCGCAGCATGTTCCAAGAGTAAAGCCCTAGGACGCGGTGGGTTTTCGTTGTTACATGCGTGGGTTTCGGGCTTGGCTGCTCTGGGTTAGGGTCATGGAGCTTGTGGCTTTGAAGCCTGGAGTTATTGGCCGAGGGGTGCAAGTCTACGGATGGAGCCAACCTGAGGTTGTTCTAGATAGTTTCCACATCACATTTTCGGTACAGTCCTTTCGGTGACTTTGACCCTGCACCTGATTCTTCATATTGTTGTTCCTGGCGTTGCTGGGGGTCAAAACTACAGTGAGAGTGCACAGCTGCTACGTGCCTTGTCGGGCCGTCTTTCCATGATCTAGGCAGACATATGGGTGGTTGTCAATATGATGGTCCCTTTTGGGTCCCTATTATAATACTGCACCTATTATTTAGGGTGCCCAGAAAGGGACCTTAATTTTGACAACCACCCATATAGCGAGGACTATGTTGGTGTGATGTTCCCCTGACCCCTAAACCTCAAAACCTCAAACCCTTCCCCGAAAAGCCCCAAACCCCAACCCCTAAACCCTAAACCCTACTAAGCCCAAACCCTACAGCTGCAAGACACCTTCTGAACCGCCAAGCGATGAAGACAGGACCGGCCATGGCTTTATTGGAGGAGATGCCAAAGCTTCTTGGACTGAGTATAAAGGGGTTGGGTTTGGTGTGTGAGGGTTTAAGGGTTTGTAGGGTTTCAGGGTTTGGGGTTGTAGAGTTTACAGATAGGACGGAGCGTCAATAATCACAAAGTATTGACATCACACTATGTTTTTCTAGAGATTTTGCCGTCCGTCTAGCAATTGAAGTCCCATTAAGTCCCCTAAACCCTGAGCCCTAAACCCCTAAACCCGCTTGCCTCGTTTTGAATTAGTTATGTGTTGAGGGTTTAGTGTTTTAGGGTTTGGAGTTTAGGGCTTTGGCTTGCTTGCAGCTTCTTCGTTGTGGCCTTCTCGGCTCGCGCCCACGCCCGCTGGAGTTCAGACCCGGCACTTCTCAAATATACTTAGCTGAGTCTTAATCCCTTGAAGAAGGGATCCCTCAGACAGGCCCTAAGTAGGAGGATCCGGGTTCGAAGGACGGATTGAACGAGCCCTCAAGAAGGATGCAGAAGAGCCGTCAGCCCAGGCAGCAGCTGCGGCCAAACGCCTTTTGCGTTGGTGCGGCTGCAAGTGCATGTGCCTGGGCTGAGTGACCTGAAGCAGACAGACCCGACGGTTTAGGGTTCGGGCCTTTCGTCTGGTGTTCTTGCTGAAGCGATTCGGGTTTTCCGTTGCGCACTTGCACACTACTGAGTACGTCAGGCGCAAGAAGCAAGACCTGCCCCTTGCTCTGATGCCCTCAACCGTAGACCCTTAAATCCTAAGCCCAGAACCCTAAACCTCATACTAGTACCCCGCCTGATAGAATGCTGAATAAAGAAGCCCAAACTCCTCGCAAAACCCAAGAAGCCCCTAAGCACCAAACCGCCCCACAAAAGACCGGAACCCGATGTAAGGCGTCCGCCAGCAGCTTTGGTCGCAGGTCCCTCCGCCTTCCATGGGGGGTTTAGGCTTTGCGACCTTGGTTGGGTTCGTTTGTACGAGTACTGACATGAAGCTCTTGCAGGGAGTTCGGGCTGTTTCGGGCCTAAACGGTTGTTATGATTTCTGGTGTGGGCTTTAGAGAGGGTTCGTGCTGTTTCGGCTTTGAGGTCATGCGGTTTAGGGTTAGCGTTTTGGCTTGACTTGATTGTTCGGGAAGTACTTGTAGCTGCCTTGCTCAGGGTTAGTGCACTATAGCGACGTTTGAAATATTTTCATGTGGTACCATAAAAACGTGCTTAAGTGTAGGCCAGGCATAGTAAGGTTACGTGTGACCACTGTCGTGGTTTGATGTCTGACTCTCCTAGGCCTATACATTAAGCCCTCCACCTTTACCCCTTAACCATAGACCCTTAAACAAGATGCCTAAAGCCGTATGCCTATACCTTGAACCCATACCCGAGACCCTAAGCCTTAAGCCCTATATCTCAAGCCCTACATGCAACCCTAAACCCTAAACCGCAAACACTAAACCCTAAATCCCAGGAGCGTCAAGAACCAAAACCCCGGAGGCATTGCGCCTCTTGCGTGACTCTCGTGAAGCGAAGATCTCGCCCACCACCGCGACATGGGCTCAATTTTTTTTTGTGGGGCGGGGTTTTCGGGGAAGCTCGAGGGCTTTGGGCTTTAGGGCTGAGGGTTCTGGGCTTTAGGATTTAGGGTTTGGGGAGGTTCTTCGCAGTTTCTGGATTTCGGATTAGGGGTTCCAGGGTTTCAACTTTCGGGTTTTGGGCGTGGGAATTCTTGCTGGGGCTGATCCGGCAGGAATTGAGATGGCTGGTGTGCTGCTGCGTACAGTGATAGTGCCGGACAGTCGTGGAAAGTAGCTTTATCGGTCGCAGTTGCACATCCCGCGCGCATACGCACACTGGAACCAATGGGACTCTTTTTTTGTTGCTGTGCTTGTATGTCGAACAAGACACAATGATGCTAGACCCTCCACCCATAGAGCCCTAAACCCTAAGCCCTAAACCCTAAAGGGTTGAGGTGACCTATGGAACAGCCGCCGGGGCTTACGCCGTGGAAGGGCACTGGGTGCTGCTGGCCTGAGTTTAGGGCATCGTGTGCGGGATGAGTTCTTGGACTTTCAAGCCTTGAACTAGTGTTTTTCAGGGTTTGGGTTGCGGTTTAGGGTTTGCTTGCGGTTTCCGGCTTGGGCTGTCGGGTTAAGGCTTTATGTTTCAGGGCATAGAGGTGTTTGATGTTGTTGCGAGGAAACAGCCACCAGAGTCTCATAAGGCTACCGGGATGGGGGTTTCGGAGCTGAAATAGTGGGTAAAGGCTCAGAATCTGGGCAGTAGCCCGGAAGACAGACCCCCAGCCCTCAAAGCTAGTGAGTCATCAACTCCCCTAAACCCGAAACCCTTGTAACCTAGAACCCGAAACCCTGAGTAGCCCTAAGCCCTCCAACCTTAAGCTCTAAACCCTAAACCTTAAATCCTAAACCCGAAACTCTGAACCCGAAGCCACCGAAAATTACCCTAAACCGGAGCTCCTCCCCACAGCGCCGGCCTTTTCCTGGGTTCTTTTTGAAAGAACTTAATTTCAGTTACCATAGCAGGGATCTATAATCTATAATACGGTGCCCTTATTATGGTAAATTATCTTAGATGCCTTAACCTAAACCCTCAACCCTAAAACCCCCAAACCCTATGGACCCCTTACGGATCCCTTTAAGGGAACCCTATAGATCCCTCAAAGGAACCCCCCTGGAGAGTGTGAAGGCTTAGCCCTAAACCCGAAGCTTCCGAAACTTCGGGGTACCTCATCCGGCTTATTTTGGGGTCCTTATAAGGATCCTACTATTTGGGGCACTATACCCTTAACCCGGCCTTTTCAGGAGTCTGCCTTGGACTGTTTCGCCGAGTCGGCGGCTCTTGGCATAGCCAGGAGCGCCCTTTGGCAGAGTGGGGGCTCAGGGTGGGGTCTGCGGGGTTTCGGCTTTGGGGTGTAGGGTTTTAGGGTTTAGGGTGTAACGTTTTAGGGTTTATATAGGGTTTTAGGGTTAGGGGGGTAGGGCTTTTAGGGTTAGGGTGCAGGGTTTTTGTAATTTTAGGGTTTAGGGCTTAGGGGCTTTAGGGTCTAGGGTGTAGGGTGTAGGGTTGAGGGTGTAGGGTTTCAGGATGCGGTTGGCAAATAGCACAAATATAACACTATGTAATCATGCAGGGAATACGAAAAGTGGACTATAACCAGCGTGACGGTTCCCAGTGCGAGAACGCAAATGCTGCTACTGGATCTGTTGATGCCACTAAAACCGACATACGTTCTACTAGTCGTACGGCAATGGCAAGTGCAAGTATTTTTTTGTAATTTGGGTATTTGATATTTCATGTTAATTGCAAGTTTTCAGGGACTTTCAGGGGACACTATTTCGCGTCGTGGAGACTCGAATCTCGCGATGGGAAAGTTGGTTTATCTGTACGAGCTGTTCGGAGTCCTTTGCCAACAGATGCCCGGTACTATACAAGCTTAAAATAGCTGCAGATGACTACTACTAGTAGCATCCCCCCTCATCTACTTCTCGAATGCCGCTCAGGTGATCTTGGCGAACAGCGTAATGCGTGCCTGTGAGCGCGCCAGTCAGTGGACACTTGCGCTGTGGCTGTTGCGGGAGGCCACGACGCTCCAAGCTCTAAAACTCTGTTGCAATCGAATTGGTGCTTCCACATGAAAAGTCGAAATCTACACACGCACACACACACACAAAACACTACACCCCAAAACGCTGAAGCCTAAAACTCTGAACCGTAAACGCCGCCAAAACACTGGCTTCCCAAAACCCCGAGCCTCTTACAGTGAAGTTCCGTGGAGTTGGCGAGAGGTGAGGAACAAAGTCGCAGAATCCATGTAACCCTAAGCTCGAGACCGTAAGCACTTATCCGTGAACTGAACCCGAAGCCCTACCACGGACCGTCAACGAATCAATAGACCCGAAGCCCAAAGCCCCAGACCCGAAAACCCTGCACCGGAGCCATACCCCTAAACCCGAAACCCTAACCCCGAAGCAACCCTCAAACCCCACCCCAGAGCCCTAGACCAAACCCTAAACGGAGATGAGTGAGTCGACATGTGGGAGTTCCCAATATTAGAGGTACCGTATTCTGGGGTCCTTGTAATGAGGATCCTACTATTTAGGGTACTTTATTAGGGCCCCCCTATTTTCGGAAACTCCCATGTTCCCAAGTCGCAAGGCGATGCCCGCCGAGCAGCCACCCATGGAGCCGGATGCAGTCAGCTCCTTGTCGGTTGGAGGTATTTTGGGCTTGCGGGTTTAGGGTTCTAGATTCTAGGGCTTATGTGCGCATAAGTATGTATGTATGTATGTATGTATGTATGTATATATATATATAGGGTTTCGGATCGAGTCTCGCTAGGAGACATTGCCGGTGACCCCAGTGCTAGCTTAGCACGATCCCTCGCAGCCATAGGGAAGGCTGTGCCAACCTCTCCTTCTTGGCATCGACGAGCCCGGAAGGTTCGATCAAAAGCGAGGGCGAGAATCCACAAGGCTCGCCACCTCCGACGGCTTCCACTGCCAGCTGACCTCCGTCGGCTCACCAGGCACCACACCCGGCCTCGCTACAGGGAAGTGTACTCTTCCCCTATGGGAAAGCGTGGACAATGGCCGAATGCGGACTACGCCGAGTACGATGGTTCATGGTCACAGTCTGGCTGGGATGGCTGGCAGGAACACCGCCAGCCCAAGGGCAAGAACCGGGGAAAGGCCAAGGACCCTTCTCGCAAGCACAAGGACGAGACGGCATTCCCGACCTACGAGGAGATCATGCTGCCGGCCAAGAATGCTGGAAAGGGGCGTGGTGCCGCCACCACAAGCGGAAAGGACGCCCCGCAGCCAAGTGGCCCAAGCAGTATGGCACGGAATGTTCAGAAAGCGGTCAACAATCTCCGGCGCTGCGAAAACAAGATCCGCCGCCTCGACGAGGAGACGGACGAGACCCAAGAGAAGTGGCAGGAGTTTCAGGCCCAGCTCAAAAAGAGCTTCATCACCGAGCGCGCCCGCTACCATGCCAATATGGCCAGATTGGGCAACGAGAAGTCCGAGCAGGTTGCGCTGCAGGAAGAGGCGGTGGAGGTACTGCAGCATGTGCTGGATGGCACAGCACCGGCACCGGGAGCGACCGAAGACAAACCACCTGCGGAAGCCCAAGCGGCCTGGGACGACCTGATGAGGGATGCGGAGGAGACCGAGGACCTCTCCAGCATTCTCAGCGGGGCCATGCACGACAAGGTCCTCCACAACGAGAGCACCCGCCGACAACTGCTGAGCCTCTTGGAGAGCCACCGACGACGAGGCGAGCAAGCCCCGGCTACTTCGACACCGCCAAAAAGACCTCGGACGGCGGCCCCGCCTACTCCAGCAGACAAGGCCACGGCACCCAGGAAGGCGGACACCGCCAAGGACACGATGGCAGATGCAGGGCCGGAAGGGGCTCGAAGTGCTGCACCCTATGTGACATCCCCCTCGACCAGGACTGCGGGACCAGCGGCAGAGCTTGCTACCGATCGGTTGCCCTCCCGAACACGAACATCGACTCCGCGGACCCCAGTAAAGGCCAGGACCAAGCCGAGCCCTGTCAGCACCTCCCGTCGAACTCTCGCGGAGAAGTTGGAGGACAGCCGGGCTACAGCGATGGATTCCGGCACGATCAATGTCGATTCCGAGGACGACCTCCTGGAGAACCTGGCGAGCAAGGACGAATCAGAGCCACCCCGCGAGGTGGACTAAGTGGAGTACCGTGGAGCGAAACCAGGCTTCTTCGGCCTGTCCTGGCTTCGCAGCGGCAAATCCATGACTTCTCCTATGAAATCACTGGTGGCTTTTTCGACGAGTCCACCTACAACCCAGCTCATCTCGCATCGGAGTTTGGGTATCCAATCTTCACTGGTGGCTTTTTCGGCGAGTCCACCTACAACCCACCTCATCTCGCACAGGAGTTTGGGTTTTCTACCTGCACCACAAGTGTTCAGGACAATTTTGTTTGGCACGGCCCCTCGGGAGGCCACGTCCAAGCGCTAGCCAAGGAGGCCGCTAACTTTGATTTGAGCGATGCCCTCCCGCGAACCGCGAAACAGGCACAATGGCTGGTTTTCGACCTGTTCGACGTCTTCTACCTCTTCGCGACCTACCTGTACCAGCATCCTCTATGTGGAGGACTTGTCCAGGGTATAGCCTTGGCCTCCACTCTTGGGCGAACCCTCGCCGCCATCCTGTTGGGAGCCCAGATGGTGGTCGTCGTTGCCCATCTTCGCTGGAATCGCCCCTTCGCGACCCGACCAGCCACAACACGGGCATCTTGGACGAGGCTCCTTTTGGCTTTCTCAGCTCTACTGGTTCCAGCTGCAGCAGTGCCGGACCCGCCTCCCATCGACGGCTCACGAGCCGGTCACTTCAGATCTCGGCACGGCCCTTCTGGCAATCCGGGCTCCCCACACCAAGGGAGCAGCTGGCCCAAGCTTTTCAGCGGGAGATCCTCAACCGCCCTTTAGCGAGTGGTGGTGTGCACCCGACAAATGTGCACCCCGATGGGCCCTCTGTGCTGCATAGGCCACCGGAGCCAACACCTCCGGACTTCCCGGACCCGGAGGAAGATCTTCTACCCTGGACCGATGACGAGCCGGAGCACACGACCCACATCTCCTTCAGGCTCCTCTCGCCTTTCATCGAGGCTGAATCGGTGGACGTCGGCATGATTTTCCCGCTCCAACAGGACCGTGTCCTTGAATTTGTTCGGGAATCAGCAAGATACCAGTCCCGGAACTGGCTGGACCACGCGGTCTTCACCGTCCCCCAGCTACACGAGGACTATGGCAGCATCCTTGTCTTCCCGAGCTGGGTGACCGCTACCTCAAGGAAAGCCCTGGTCGTGGATGCCACACAAGCTCGACTGGGTGTCTTCGCCTTCTACCATTCCGGACCTGTCTCGAGACAGGACGTGCTGCAGGAGGTACTGGAAGATGACGATGACCCGGACGATTTCGTGGTCTATGCCCTTGGCGACCACACTCCACTTGCCCACCACGTCGTGGTCACCCCTCCACATGGCGGCGTCTTCATACCATGTGTAGAGTTTGGCAGGCTTGGGTGCACATGTATCATCTGCGATCGATATCATGCCTTTTGGCTCAAGCCTTGGCAGTTGAGCCAAAAAGGCAGGATTTGTTGCCATTAGCTCGCGGAGTCGACCCGCTTATTATGGCACATGTCTTTGATCAGGAGTCACCTGAGGTCCAGGCCCTTGCCTACGTTATCAGCCGCTTCGCTGTGCATACCGAGGCCCAGGTGTTGCACCCAGCGGCTATGCTGGATCTCAGGGCTCAGCTTCGGTTTTTGGTTTCCGAGGGTCGGAATGTGGATGCAGCCAGGCTGTGGGCATCAGCCCTCGAGATCCAACATTACCCTCCTCCCCCCCCACTGCTCGACGGATTACCTGCAGGTCTGCCACCTATCCGCACGGTCCCGTGTGTCGTCATGGACTGTGCCCGGTGCGCCCAGAGTCGTGGAGGGTTCCAGCTGCCTTTTGTGGGTACATTCACACATGCAGCAACGATTGTCCGCCCAGGGAGTGACCCGGCTCAAGCGTGGAGTGCTTACCATGCATGCCGCTCCTATTTGTCGCGGGCGACATCACGGCCCTTCATTCGGGCCTTTGGCCTACCGACCTGCTGCCGAACCACCTCTACGCGCTCTTTTCTCGGGTGGCAGAACAGACCCACCCTCGGGCAGCCAGCTCAGCCGAGCTCTGGATCGTTTTCCGACGGTGGCAAGCTGGGAGCCGGGTGTGGATCGAGCCCGGAGTCGAGGTCCCTTCTTGGGAGGCTGCCCGGGAGGATGAAAGATCACGGGCGCATAGGACCATCTGGCTGTGGCTTGGGGCCGTGGCTCACGGGCCGGGACTATTGCCAGCAGCCTGCCACAGCTGCGCAACGGTCTTCCGCTGTCGGCGGTGTGACGCAGCGGCTTGTGGAGACTGCCTGGGCCGCTGCATTCGGTGCCTTTGATGGTGGGCGATTCTGGAAGGGGCGTTCCCTTTTTTGTCAGGAGCCGGCGGCCGCGGCGGAGACCGCAGGCATATCTTCATACCGGGGTGGCGACCCCCGATGCCCTGGGACTAGGGTTGCAACCAGGAGTGGACCTGGGGCTGTCTTCGGCGGTGGCGACCCGCCCGGTCTTGAGTCGCACTCCGCTCTGCTTCTGCCGTTGCCCGGCCTTCACGATCATCTTCCACGGCGGCTTCTCGGCTCAGGCCTCTGCTAGCAGCTGCGATGGCCGGTGTGTATGCCCAGCAGTCGCTTGAGGCGGCAGGAGATGGCGATAGCCAGCCCGGCCCGTCTTCCGGACTCTTCGGGGAGGGTACCCCGGTAGAGGTCCGAGTGGAGGCTTGGCGCCGCGCCTTTGGCCTGGCCGATGACGAGGAGTTCGCCTACGTCTTTATGTCGGCGGAAGAGGCACAGAGGCAAGCTGGAGCAGAAATCGCAGCCAAATGGCGCGAAGTCCGCGAGCGAGTGGACGAGGGCAAGGCTCTGGCTTTCGCACACGAGGCAGCCCAAGCCGGAGGCGGCGGCCAAACCTTCCACAAAGCCTCGCCCGCCTTTGCCGCGGCGGCGGGCAGCCGTGCCCAAGGCACCGCTGCAAGCCCGCACGCCTGTGGAGCGCGCTGCCTTGGAGACACCATTGGTCGAGGAACTCGCCGACCTTTGGGTAGATGCCAAGGTTCAGCGCCCGAGCGGTGAGCTCAACGCGGGACGCCAAGCTGAGTGGGAGAACTTTGTGAGGCGCCGTGCTGCCAAAGTGTGCAGCGAAGCGGAAGTGGCCACGATCAAGAAGGCCGTGGTTTCCCTCCGCGAGCTTCAGCATTTCCAGGTTGCCCGGGGCAGAGACGGGCTGGAAGAGGTGGACACCCTGGACCTGGACGCCTTTATATTCAACTCAACCGCTCCTCATCGTGCCGTGGCGGGCTTGCGGTGGGCTGCCAAGCAAGCTGAGCTCGCCTGGAAGATTCCGGATGCACCCCGGACCGACCAGCGCCGGAAGCCTGGGGACGAGCGGCAGGCCACATTGGCCGAACCGCCGATGCTGGTCCACCTGGAGAAGGTTATTGAGGACCGGTGCATTATGGGCGACCCTCGGTGGACTGCGATGCTGGGGCAATGGATGCAGGCCTCCAGCTGCATGCGGTATGCCCACCTTCGCAGGAGCGAGGTCCTGCGCATCA